ATAAGTTCTAACATAAAATGGGATGGTTTTATGTTCTATTCTTAGATGTAAAATTGACTCTGAAATGATTTCTTATTATCTACGGTTTCTATTTAATACTTCGTAATTAGAAAACATAGAAAGACTGATTATAATTTCTGATTGTAAATGACTGAAAAAATGGAAACCTTTTGTGGTAGTAATATAAATGATATAGAAATTGACATATTGTTTGCTTGATAGACAATATTCATATCCATCACTGTAAATTATTTTAATCAGGTTAAAATCGTGGCACATTATAAACTACATTTTTACATAGTTTCTAGTTTTATTTGGATGAGGTTTTTATACGCCCACACGTAAGATGGGCGTATATTGTAATCACCCCGTCGGTCCGACGGTCCGTCCGTCCGTTCGTTCACATTTGGCTCGTGCTCACTCTACAGGCTACAGTTCTTTATGGATTCTTTTGATTTTTATTTTGTGTGTCAATGTCATTATGAAGATGATCCCTATTGATTTTCGTGATGATCGGATAATTTTTCACCGAAATATCGTGTCTGACTTGACGTTTTACTCTATTAGCTATATTGTGCAACTCGTGCTCACTCTACAGGCTACAATTTTTTACAGATTCTTTTGATTTTTATTTTGTGTGTCAGTGTCATTATGAAGATGATCCCTATTGATTTTCGTGATGATCGGATAATTTTTCACCGAAATATCGTGTCTGACTTGACGTTTTTCTCTATTAGCTATATTGTGCAACTCGTGCTCACTCTACAGGCTACAATTTTTTACAGATTCTTTTGATTTTTATTTTTTGTGTCAATGTCATTATGAAGATGATCCCTATTGATTTTCGTGATGATCGGATAATTTTTCACCGAAATATCGTGTCTGACTTGACGTTTTACTCTATTAGCTATATTGTGCAACTCGTGCTCACTCTACAGGCTACAATTTTTGACAGATTCTTTTGATTTTTATTTTGTATGTCTTTGTCGTTATGAAGATGATCCCTATTGATTTTCATGATGATCTATCGATTTTCATGATGATCGGATAATTTTTCACCGAAATATCGTGTCTGACCTGACGTTTTACTCTATTAGCTATATTGTGCAACTCGTGCTCACTCTACAGGCTTCAATTGTTTACAGATTCTTTTGATTTTTATTTTGTATGTCAATGTCATTATGAAGATGATCCCTATCGATTTTCGCGATGGTCGGATAATATTTCACCGAAATATCGTGTCTGACTTGACGTTTCACTCTATTAGCTATATTGTGCAACCCTGTAGTCACTAAAGACTGTTTAATCATTTCTGACAGCTGCCAGTGGGCGTATGTTACCTTGCCTGGCAAGCTATCTTTTATATATTTAAAATGTGTTTTTTGTAAATTCATTTCATACTCTTCGCCAGAATGTCAAATTTCTAAGGCGTATATGCCTACTTGAAGCGTTTTGAACGTCTAATAATAATATGATTTATTTCGTACATGATAATATATACAATAATTTACAACTAACAGATGCCTAGCATCTCAATTATTTCATTTAAAATAAGAATATTCTGTATAATTACCCTCTGGAAATATAATGAAGTTTCTGATTGCAGAGCCAACTCTTTAAGTCCTCTTCAAACTTCTAATTCATATTCATCACCAATATAGAGACAATACATCCAGTCGTATGAACACTCACATAGAAACGTTTATGTTAATTTCAGTTTGTCTTGTACTTGAGTGATTCAAATTCGGAGATAGTGTCTGGTCTGGGTGATGCATTGCTTTTTTGCTTATTTGTACATGTACCTTGAATGATCCAGAATGATCCAGAATGATCATTTCAGGTCTACATAATTAATTTTGAACATGGCTCACCAGCCGACCGTAAAGCAACACAACTTCGATATTTAAAAGTAAATAACGTACAATTGGTCTGTACAAGCCCAAGAGATTGTTAGAGAAAGAGCGTCCAGGATAATGATCTCTCACGATGGCCAATAGATACCGTTTTTAGTTCAATCCAGGCATTATAGTGTCATTGTGGTCATAGTGCTAGACACAGACACTATCATCATCTATTAGATTTTAATAGACAAATGGAATAGAAATTATTCCAGTTGACACGATTGTGGTAGGTAAAAGTATGTCAGTCAAGACAAATGATGAAGACAACGTCGTGCTTGATATTGATCCACTGGGACTGTTTAATTCAAAGCCAACGTCAGCCTATCGATATAATAAATACAGTGTCTCTAAAAATAGCCTTAAATACCAGATTTATATTTACTTTTTGTCATTTGTCATTGGCTTAACTATTAAATGTTTTTGTTCCATGTTGTGTTGACCGATTTCTTCTTGACAATAACAGTAGGATAACTGTTTTGTTGTACCATTTGACTTTTTCAACATCTGAAAGATTCAACGGAGAAAAAATCAAACAATGATTTTATTGAAATAAGATTCGCGTGATGTTTATAATGCACCGTTGGCCTTTTTTCAGCGTCACATCAAAAACCTTTACCAGCATTATGACAAAATGTGGGTTTGTTTTAGATTGAGGTGAAAACATCATAAAATATTAATTATTTCTGACCAATCTCTAAATAGTATCATTTATTTTGGTGAAATTGCTTTAACTCTATTTCTACTCACTATGGAAACATAAACATCTGGAAACCTTGGTTATCTTGATAGATTTAATTTCAAGTTGAACATATTTTCTTAAGTATTATTGAGATTATATAGACACTGTGGTTACACCTGCTATGTAACACTAATGGCCTGTTTTTAGATGACATAATAAACAATTTATTGCCTTCCTTGATTTTCACATGAATCATTAAAAATTGGAAGGCAGGGGGCCCAAATACGACACATACAATATTGAAAAGTAATAATGATACAATGAGCTCTGTCGGATTACGTATCAATGGCTCATAAGACCAGGTTGAACCAAGTCCACGGACCACCACTAAAAGAGGGGGGGGGGGGGGGGCATCCCAAGAAAAAAATACAAAAGTTTTAAAAACAATGTACAAACAAAGTATCTAAAAGATTAACACGGGCATTAATTTGACTTATACAGAGACGTCTCATATGTAAAAACAAATTTCTGGGGAAGGGGTCCCAACCTACTTAAGTCCACGGACCCCCACTCCTCTTGTTCAGCCAATGTTATTTATTATGTATACCCTTCCACTAAATGACTTATTCCGAGTTAGCGGTTATTGCAAATCAAATCAGAACCCTGGGTTAAAGTTAACTGTCCACCAATAATAGTTTGTCAATAATATATCAATACCATGAACATATAGGGTTTGTGTCTTCCCCGTCATTACTAATTGTTCATCTAATTAAGTATCTTGTATGTTGATTTCGATTGTTCTAAGTTGAGACACTAGTTGGCGTGTGATTGACGTCACACGAGTGAAAGCCGATTTTCTACAACTATTTCAGGATTATGACGATAATAGAGACATTTTTTGCCACTTGGGAGATGTTATTCGACAGTCTTTGACATTATAGCTTGACAGCTTCTGACACAAATACAACTTTTTGACCGTCTCCCCAACTGGTCTTTTATTTGAAGAGTTTTTCTAATCAATATGAACTTTGGACTTCGGATAAATGTTCCATAGAAAGTTAGTGCGCAGTGAAAACAAGGGACATGGTGTTGTTGAACATTGTCTAAGTTTATATTCATCTGTAAACTTTTCAGATCAACACTTGAAGCCACAAGAACTGAACCTTTGCTCGCTACAAACTGCTGACAGTAGTACATTCGCTCAAGGGAATTCGTTATTTTAATTAACTCACAGAAAAACGGGAATATAATGAAGTTCCCATATTTGTCCACAGAAGTTATTTTGTGAGCGTTATCGATTAGATCTAACCTTGTATATGACAAGGACATTTGCCCCGGAAAAAAATATTAAAAAAATACTCCTGTCAGAAGAAACTCCAGGAAACATGATTGATAGACTTTTCATATACTGTTGACTGGTGAAAAGTTACGGTGATCAGAAAATGCTTCAGTTAATGGATTGAGATATACTGACAATTGCAACTATTGGGAGCTGGATGACTGGGTCAAACGTGCTTTTCTGAACATTAGTGAGGACAATTTTAATTGGAAATATTAGCCTTGCATCATTGCATCGGACAAATCAATAAATTGATGTATAATGATGGTACTTTTTCATTATGTTTTCTGTGTCGATATTCATTGACTTACATTGGCTTGGAAATGACGCTAATATCTCATCACTTAAATAGGTCTGATAGAACCTGTTAACAATACAATGTGGTCAGTTAGATTCAGATGCTTAGATAGTTATGTATATGAAGGTGAAGGGTCGGGGTTTTTACTTCTATTGTAATTTTTTTTTTGCTTGACTAATATTATGGTTTATTTGATGTTTAGTGACACCCGATTTATTTTGAGAGGAGGTCAAAAACAGCAGCAGGTAGATTTCAGTTCCGACGTTAAGGTGTTAATTGTCACATGGGGACAAACCCTTTCCGGAATTAACGATCCTGATTGCTCGATAAATGGTACTGCATATTGACGTCAGACAAATCTCTTTTCTTGTGGAGTAGGCCTATCTACTTGACTCAAATAGATGTCAGTGTAATTGTGCCTGCTTGTAAATGTATTGAAGTTTCAGTTAAAATTGCAGGAAATAACGGAAAAAAGACCAAATTGTAAAAAGATTACATTATAATTTGATAGTTTATTGATGATTGATGACTGGCAAAGAAACTCTAGTTACAACGAAAACTAAATTAGAATCCGTTGTGTTATATTAATCTATTTGTGCAACCATGTTTGAAATCAAAGCAGCATCACATTCAACTTTTATTCCTACTTCTACTCCACAGGTTTTACCAAACGATTTCAATCCGGCCATGGATCAGTTTTCAGAATATGTGTCCTACAAAACTTTACTGAAATCAAGAAACTTTAGCTTCCTCTTGCGATCGCCTTACAACTTTACTGGTGCAGAAGATATTTTGAAGGAATTCGAACAAAGCTTCTACACGTTTGGGAATTATTCAACGGTGATCCTGTTATCTTTGTATGTTCCAACGTTCATCATCGCCCTACTGGGTAATATATTGATTATACTGACTGTGCTTGCTGATGAAACTCTGAGAAAAACCAAGAATTTCTACCTGATCAATCTTGCTTCATCAGATTTGTGTATAACGTTGGTCTGTATGCCAATGACTGTGGGCACCATTGTGTACAGATTGTGGATTTATGGTGAATTCTTGTGTAAATTTACAGCATTTTTACCAGGTAAAGTTTCAATTTATTATTTTTTGCTTGTCGTAAGAATCAAATTCAATCCTAATAAAGATCAGTTTAAAGGGAAAGATGCGCCATTTTTGACCATTCATACCTAAGTCTCAGAAACGGGATTTTTTTAAGCTAATCAGTGATAGTGTTAACAGTTCAAATTTGTGCCTTCAAATCCATACGTGTCCAGAATTATCCTTGTTTTAAAGATAAAAGTCTAGTCTTTTCTTGAGGCGTATATAGAAAAAATATCTATAGATATAAGAAAAGAAATTCCTAGTTTGAGATATTTTTGAAAGAATAATACGATTTTCATACATTTCTAGTACTTCTGAAGACTATTTACATATACATGTATTCAAAAGTCAAATCAACCTCTCATAATGGCGTATCTATCCCTTTAAGGTCATGGTCGATTGAATTGATTGATTGAATATTCCCTTTACCAATAGAGCCCAATAAAAGCTGTCTGTGTAACGTTGAAATAAATAAAAATTCAAAGAGATACTAAAAAAAAGAGATACCTTGAAAATGTCGTCCCTTCCTGGCCATTATTAGCATTCTTGAGGTTTTTATCCTTTTTTTTAAACAAAAAGGGTATTTACTCGTCTAGAAAATTCATTTTTCTGAAAAGGTTCATAAATGTCATATTGACAGAAGATACCATTGTTAAAATTGTTCTGCAGTCATCAAGAATTATTATCCGTAGGATATAAATGATTATTTTCTTACTCTGAAAGAAATAAGACTAATTCGTGTCAGATATCGTCACTAGAAAAATAATTTTGCCCAGGGTTAACATTGTTTTGCGCAGTTAATAACACATAGTTTGCAACATAACAAGCTCAACAAAAAAGGAAGATGAATTCACCACTCCTGGGTGAATCCAGTATAAGTTTGATTGATATAAGAGCCCTTTGAAACCCTTGACATAAAAGTCTGTCATACTGTTCACAGTCTTTCGGTCGAGGGCTCTGATTTTCTATTGCAGTCAAGGTATAAGACGAAGTTTGTAATCACTTGACTATTATTCACGAGTGAAACATTATTACTTACACGTTTTCATGGATTCCTAGGCACATGGTTATTCCTAGGCGCATGATAACTTTCACAGATTCCTAGGCACAGTAATCTTTGTAACCCTGATTTTATGAGCTTTTATAAGTCTAACCATATGCATGTACATAACTAGATAGCCGAATCGATTTAAGAGGAGTTACCATCTTACAAAAGAACAAACAAAAACGGCGAACCAATCTTTAATTTTGCTGGAGGGTTTTGGCATATATACTGGAAATAGAGTTACAGGTTAAATCATTTTGAAATCTAAAAGGAGAATTTCTCAAAGGTATAAATCATAGTTCAAGTAGAACTTAAGAATTCGAGAATTCCTCATGAAATTAATTCGCTTGGCATACATTCATGAAATAATGCAGTTTTCATTACATAGTACGTTCAATTGAATTTAGACCTGTCTTCCATTGCTTGGAATGTCTTTGTGTTAATAGTTAAACAAAGGTGCACACGGGCGGTCTTGGTCTGAGATTTTTGTCGCGAATTAGAATCTTGTGTAAAATCTCGTGTGCCCGTGCTTCCATAACAAAAATTATCGCGTCCACGACAGAATTTATAATATCAAACAAGTTTAATAATTGTCTCCAATAGTTTTATTGTCTGCAACACCGTCATCGTCAAAGAAGATTCATATTCCTTTTAAGTGCATACTCCGCACGTGATTGTCGATATAGTGGAAAACGACCGTGTGCCCGTGGTAGTTTTCAAAACTCCTGACAAGACTCTGAATGCTCGACGACAAAAATCTCCTTCGTAATTCAAAATCAAAAATTGAACATTTTATAAATATCACATCGATACGTCCCTTATTATGTAGAGACAAAACAGGGTAAAATTGTGCAAGGTTGCGTTTAAAAAAAGGATTCATGAATGTCAACAAATATAGTTCACATAGTTAATGATGTTTGATTGAAAGTCTATAAGATAGTGGACCACAGCCATATACGGCATGCGAATGGTAATAACGAAACATCCATTTTAAGTTTCATCAAAATCGGTTGAAAACTAAGAGAGTTGTAGCATATTCAAGATTTTGGGGCAAGGGCAATAAAACTGTTTCTAAAGTCGAAAATAGCTCAAATTCAAACTTGATCTTCGTTTCATTAATATGTATACACATACCGAATTTCATTTGATTCCTTCAAACACTCTAGTTTTTAGAGTGTTTACAAGCAATTGATGTTGATAGATGCACTTACTGTATAGAGGTTAAAGGGCGTTAAAACTGACGTAAGAGGCCTAATTCTTGAAAAAGTCTTAAATTTAATCAGAATTAAACTAAACTTTCTCAAACCTTTCGATTTAGGTCCAATAACATCCATTTTATGTATACACATACCGAATTTCATTTGATTCCATCAAAAAATCTAGTTTTTAGAACGTTTACAAGCAAATGTTGACGGACGGACGGACCGACAGGGTGCCGACAATATACGTCCACATAGAGAGATGTGGGCGTATAAAAAATTGCTCTAAGGAACTAATTTAGAATTTATGGCATTGACAAGATGGGATGTAAAACTCGATATATTTTTTATGTTTTCTCATTTTGTTCTGTGTATCTTATTATTTTAGGAGTAGCCGTGGCATCCAGTATATTTACCCTGACGGCGATGAGTATTGACCGATATGTATCTATACAGAGACCATCTCGACCTCATTGGGTAACGTCACCAGGACAAGCTGTTTGTATCATCATATCAACATGGATCGTGTCAGGTATTCTCATGGGACCTTTACTGTACATTCGACAGGTCGATACACTTCCGCTGCCCAATAAGGCACCTATGAGATTTTGCATCGAAAAATGGCCCAAAGATGACGATCGTCAAGCTTTCGGAATCTTCCTATTATTTGTTGTGTACGTAATACCTAGTGTAACTCTAGCCCTTTGTTATGGGCATGTTGGAAAAGCGTTGTGTACTAATCAAATGTTACGAAATACTTCAGACAGTTCCAATGAAAGACTTTCTTCACGCAAAAAAGCGGCCAAAATTTTGATTGTTATGGTGTTGGTTTTTATGGTGTGTTGGTTACCCTATAATATCATATCTTTGAGTATTGACATTACTCAGGGTAGCGGGCCCATCGATGCTTTACCCTTTTCATTGTGGTTAGGACACGCCCATAGTGCTATCAATCCGGTTATGTACTGGAGTTTGAATCGTCGTTTTCGGGAACGTGTTCAGGGATTGATGAAATATATCAGAAACGGAAGTGAGCTAGAGACGCCACCTCTGCCAGCTTATGTGTAAATCAACTAAGTTTGATATCCCCCGAATACCGACCGTGTGGCTTCACCAAATCCACAAATCTCTGTCAGTGGGATGAATTTCAGTTTTATTACGTCATAAGTCTTGAACGAAAAATATGACTTTATGTACATATCAAAGATCAATTTATCAAAGTTAGAACATATAAACAGAAACTTAATTGAATATTTGGTCACTAATAATATTGTGTTAATTGATAGACAAGCATCTGTGGTCCATCCGTGGTTTTCTTCTCTTGTTAGTGGTACATGTATATCAATTATGTAAATCACTTACGCTGAATCAATCCTGCTTTCAATGTTTTGAAACGTTTTGAGTTCGTTAGATCCGTTATGTTCAGTAATGTGAAATGTTTGTGATGTTATTGTATTACATTTAAGAACAGGTGCGCCATTTTTGGGGGTTGATTTTAGTCTTGAATAAATTCAAATAATCTCCAGAAGTCTAGAAATGTACAAAAATTGCATAATTCCTTTAAAAATACTTCATACTAGGAATTTTACTCATTATTTCTATATATGCCTTCTATGTATTTCATAGAGTATCTTAAATTGACGAGTCGTCATTTTAACATTCAAACACGGATAATTCTGGACGCACATGGATTTGAAGGCTCAGATTTCGACGTTGAAATCCCGTTTCTGAGACTAAAGTAGGATTGATAAAAAAAAATGCCGCAACTGTCCCTTTAATATAGAAAGTATTAAGTAGATAAAAACTTTACTGGCCATTACTCTAAGTGATCAATTTTTCATCAACTGGTCATTCTAGCAGTTGATCCTGTCGTGGTCAATGTCCGTTGTTGTGTTTGGGTCAATGGAAAATGACCGACAACTGATGATAATGGTATATGAAGTGGAAGAGATTAGGAAGTGGACCTCTATTCAGTCGGGAATTATTCCATGAATAATTAAAACAGTTTATGAGGTTTCGTTGACAAGAAATTGCGAATGTATAATGTTTCCTTAAAAGTATATTTTCCCCCAAAATCTCATCACAATCGTGAAATCAATTAGTATCGTTCTTCTTATTGATCAATAATTACATAACTTTAGTTCGTGTTTTTGATGTAGTCTTTCATGCGATTGTCAGAATCTAAGAGCAACAGGGTTTTCAATGACTGGGAGAATCTGAGCAATTGCTAAGTTGAACCGACCTGAATGCAGTTCAATGGGTCATGCTGTAATTTCTTTCAAAAAATTTATCTCAACGTCTATCTCATGTTTCTGTAGCAACTGTGTGACAAACGTCGTACATCGTTGCTAAAGAATCATGCGTCTGCCTGGACAGTCTATCTAAGTTGTAGGTCAATGTCTTGTCTTCGACGGATCCACATGATTTTAATCGCCCGTCGGTCTGAAACCCAACTTGAGGGAATTCATCTTAAATTGTTGTTTGTTTTAGAAGATAACCCGAATGATTTGTAACATTTTTATCCATTGGTTGTGAAATTATTTATGAAATAAAATATATATTCTTACACTGATTGTTTTAATGTCTATTTAAAACTGATTCAGTATTGCATGTGTGGCTGATAATTATTGAGCTTCATTCATTATCAAGTATACAGTTTAAATACACGGTATAACCTTCAAATGAAGCTCGTGAACTGATTGTTATACGAAAACAGATTTTATAGTAATTCATGAAGATTAAATTTCATAAAAACCAGATCAACAAAGTATCTAACTTACCAATGTGGACAAATCTGTTTACGTCTAGGGCAATAACTTGGAATCCGTCCATTCAAAAATTGTGAAGTTAACAATAGCTATGTGTATACTATTACTAAGGTAGATCAAAAGTACAGCTCAGCTTCTGTTGATCTATGTGGACTCTCAAGTCTCACAAACGACAACCGCGAAATTGGGAGAATACTCGGATATGCATAAATATCATTGACCGACTCTAGCACTGTTGACGCTGCCCTAATTTGTGCTAAAATATACAAGGAAGGGAGAAACGGTGTTAATGACCAAGCCGTATTTCATATTGACCGATATATCTTTATCCTACAGAGATCTGCCTTAATTTCTTTATGTATAAAGATTAAAGTCTGAGAGAAGAGATTTAATTTGGACTCAATGATTTCAGTCAAAAAGTCAATATTTCGCTTTTCAGCATTGTTCTTTCGAACTATGAAAACTATGAAGAATGAAAATACGACTTCGTGTTTGTCTAGCATTAAAATAAAACTATCGTCGGAAGTTTTCAGACCGTTATAGATATGCTCCTAGTAACGTACCTCATTCTCAATTTTCATTCTGAGAAGGTATTCAGATCAAAACTTTTTTCAAAGAATAAAAATAATTGAGGCATTAATGAAAATATAAATATTTAAAAGAACACACAATATTCCCTCCTATAATTATTGAAGCTAATCTATAAACAGCGAGGTGAACAAGAATAGGCCTATTACAGTTAGATTTCGCCGGGGAACGAACTGACAAATGGCTTGGTATGAACAGATCCAGCGGGAGATGTATCTTATTGATTTATTATCTCCAGACAAAGATGTCTGATATCTAATTAAAACTAAAATTAATATATTATATTTTTAAACAAAATATCACGAAGTTGTCACAAAAATCATAAATAACAAACTGGGGACATGATAAACCGGATGTACAGGTACTACAAGTTGGTGGTGCCAGTCAACATTGAGATAAAAATCATTCCATATATCTAAAAAGTAACAGGTTCAACACCATTCAATTTTCATCTCCTTCAAATTCTGTAGATATTCTTAATATCAGAAGCTGGTCGAAAAACAACGAACTAGACAGTCAGAGACTACTTTTACACTGGAGTATACAGATATACATGTTCCTTTAGCAACGGTACGATGATATGAATAATCATTGTACCAGTGCTAAAGGAACATGACAGATGTGGTGATAGGCGATAGAGATCTTGGGAAATCTTTAAACGTGAATGTTGTCAAATTGATCTGAAAGGAATAGCACACGTGATTGTTTAGAAGCAACCAATCGTGAACTCTATTGGTGATTTATTCTATTTCATATAGACCATGTCTATATTTATTTATAGCAATATTTTCATTGTCGTGATATTCGATCTCCATTGTTATAAAATGGACGTAATTAAATTTTGTCCGTGAGATGGGACGTAACTCTAATATTCGTAATCTGGGATATCTGGCTGTATCAAGCGATCGGACATATTTTCCTATTTGCCGCCAAAGGTTGGTTGGTCGTTCCGCTTTCAGTTAGCTGATATCACAGACTAATGCCACCAAATGCTAACAGTCGTTGAAAACCCAGATGCTCGCAGATGTCGGCAGTAGCAAAACGGCCCTATAGCCTTCTATCAGACTTGACCTAATTACAAAACCCTCTCTTAATATCAATTATTCTTGCTTTCAACACGACCATCTTTTAAAAAATGAAATTCACATTTCTGATAAGAGATCAAATGTTTGCACGCAGTGAAAAGTCTCAACATTAAACTATAATCAATTACTACACATTAATAACTATATATTATGTTTATGGAAGAGAAGGTTGCTTTAGCTGTATTTATATAAAGGTTGAGGTCAATTATGATATATAAGCTGCATACGTTACCTCTAAAGATTGGGAAAAGAATATGCGATTGCCTTTCTCCTGGTAAAATTTCCTTCATAGCATGATGTACTCCGCTACTCGTTTATATTATCCTTATTGGGGGCAGCAGTATTGAATGTAACAATTCATTCATAGGACCAAAATTGTGGTTTGCAAATGAAATGAAGCTTTCCGTCCTACTTATCTGTACCTGATTGGGTGAATGAAGACACTTTCTTAGGTTTCCCTTCCGACATGCAACACTGACAGGAGAAAACAAGGCTGAATTATGCCGGTACTGAACCCTGGAACTCCTTTAGTCACCAGTAAGTTTGGTACGTAATGGCATACGGTGGAGCCGCGTTTATCCGGTTGTCGATAATACGGAAACCCCTATATCCGAACGCTTTTTACTGAAAACGGAATATTTACTATGTAAAAGTAACCGTTAATCCGGTGATAAGGTTCCGTACGGTTGTGATTGGGAAGCTATGCCCCGTTCGATACCTCTCGTGAAAATAGTGTTTACAACTTTTTTGAAGTCCAAAAATTGTGCGCTAAAATTGTTCGGACAATATTCACGACTTCATAACTAAAATAATTGACAAAATTATGTTAGCGGCATTGGTATATTTTATATTCCATTTCCAAGCTATTTATTAACATTTATAACATTTATAATATTTTTTATATTTTATATTTTATTATAATATTTATCACATGACGACAGTAAAATAATTGTCAGAAGAGTTTAAATAAAAAATTAACTGGACCAAAATGAAGTTGTCGTGGTCGAGGTGAAGGTCGGAGAAGTCGTGAAAATGGGTGTCGATATTTTTTCTCCATTTTCACGACTTCTATAGTAGTAAATACGACATTAAACCCACTATCGAACGGAAATTAACAACATTGACTCTGTGAACACGGTAATCACTAGAGGTATCAAACGAGGCGCTATAATCAAATTCTATAGTAATTAGTAGTCATCATTCGGTCGCGTGTCACTGTGAGTTCTTCTAACAAGTAATCATAAAATAAAACACCACGTATACAACAGCCCCGGAGAAAAATAACCTGGTCTCAATGTTATCATAGAGACTTACGACAGCTTCTTTTGTTCAGTATGGAAATGAAATGAATAAGAGTTTTACGTCTTACTTTTCTAATGAAGACGGGTAACGCCATGTAGGGTGCAATGAAAAACATTTTACCTGCTCTTTTTCGATTTCCAAATGTCGATGGATCTTTAACGTGCACATCACATGGTTTATTGTCCCATCCGAACGATTTGACGCTTTTTCCATGTCCCCTCTTACCTACATCACTGACAGGGGGAACCGGGTTGAAAAGTCGTTTGATATAGAGAAAAGTTATAAAGCTGATGTACAAAATGTTGAAAATAGATCATAACACAAATATTTTAATTTATTTATCAAAAGATTTTATTTTAAAAATCATACAAAATGTTTTATACATTACAATATACAAATTTAAAAGAGACAAAATTAAAGTTAGAATTAGATGAATGATGGAAGAAATGAAAGAAAAAATGAATAAAATTTCTTATACTATATACTTCCTATAAAATCTATTGTATAAAAATTCTTCCCTTATGATCATAATGTCGTACAACTATTTTTATTTTTTGTTAAAAACTTTTGAAAAAAGGGAAATACCACGATGTCGTGTTCAAAAACACTTGAATGAATAAAGAATATAAACAAGAATACACAACAATAACTGAAAGCCAATATAAAGTGTTTTTAGTGCAACAGAACGTGAAGAAATTCCTGAATTCGAACAATAGATGGATTATTTGAATGGTAACACAGTTTCAACTTGGATACATTCTTTTTCATAAGCAACTCTAAGTATAAGTTATTTTTATAGCAGGTTTACTAATGAGGGTAGAAACAATGAAACAAAGTTTGGAATTGAAACCTTCAAAAATTTTACATAAATGCGTACAAACAATGACGAAAAGAAATCATTTAAATTGTTAAGCTTAATCAGTTTTAAAACAATCATAATAGGATTAAAAGTACTATTTGTGGTTAACCACGACATTCCGAAACAGCGGGGGCATTTCTTTACTTAGTCCTTGTTTATCATACCATTTACAAAATGTGACAATAAGATGTCGACAAGGCTTGATTCAAAGAGTTATTTTTGAAAAGACGAAATGAATATCTTAAGGAGTGTGGTTGTAAGTATTATTATTTACTTCAAAAACAAAACACATCAAAGAATTTAAATAACAATTTCAATTGATAAAAACTTAAAGAATTTCGACATTACTTCCTTTGATTTTATTTTTGATTGTGGTTTTCTATCAAAATCTGAATAAAGTTAATTGTTTAGAAAGGCTTGTGTGTTTCGGACCACACAACCGAAATAGTTTTTGTCGTAGGTCGATCTGCTGCAAACTAGTCAAATGCGGATATAAAAAATGTATTTTGAGAGAAGATACAGTGGCATTATACTGTTTATTCAAATTGTTAATAGATTTCGAAACAATATACCCTTCAGAGAAAATAGTTTCTTGTAATAAAATTAAAGCCACTGTATGAATAATACAATAAAACTTCTTCCCACGTACCTATATGTTCAGTCGATTGTATAGTGTAAATTGTGTTAGTAGTTTAAACCATTTCCTACAGAAAGCAGGCACCTTAAATAAGATTAAAAGAAATTTGAAACGCCAAACAAGATGTTTTCTTTCCTGTTTTCGTGGTAAGATATAACTTGCCTAAAAACGATTTTAGAAATATTAACATCAAAAACACAATTTGTCAAAAATGTCACTGAGATGCCAAAAAAATTCTTTCTCGATAATCCAATAAATGCCAAATTCTGAAGTAGAAATTTTAATTTTCTGAAACAATAGGTACTAATTAAAACTGAAGATTAATCAATTCAATTCTTCAATTAATTGTTCAATAAAAGTACCCCCTTGGGCTCTTTTAGTATTAAGCCTAATAAACAACATAAAATAGAAGGGTGAAAACTTAAAAACAATAATATTTCTTAAGACAGTTGTCTACATAGATATACTAAAATCACCGAGTTAATTAAAACCAACTAATTATATATTGTGTCTCAAAATCACAATAGTAACATTTGTAAGTTCGAAGTATTAGCTGATTTCCTGCCACGAAAAATGACAACAAAGCCTGGAAATCAAAATGTACTTATTTCCATTAACAAATTTGTTTGGATTGTCAACATAATTAAAGTTCGATTTACAATCTGAAACATATCCATTAAAAGTTATTCTAATTTATAAAAAACATACTTTTCTCAAATTTACAAAGGATAATGTTACAGTTCAATTTTTTCTAATTTCATTTTTATTGAAATGATAACTCATAATTTTTCTGTCTAATATTTCAAAATACCATAGTTCATGCGTGTTTAGTCATGATATTTCTGTCATATTAAAATGAAACCAAATCTTACACCAGACATATTGATAAAATGTCAAGCAGTTACAGCTAACAGACAAATTTCTTTATAAAAACCAAAAATAATGGTCTGCCCCAAAGGCATTTCATTGAAAACTGTTGTCATGGTAACAATAAATGTGCAGTCATTAATTGGAATATGATACCTGCTAATTATCACCGGGTACAGGGTACGAGGTCAAACTAATATTGAACCCGGATTACGGATTCAAATTTCAGTCTTGGATGATTCTGTTGTTGTAAAATGTTTGAAAAACAAATTGAAACGTGTATACAAGTCGAGAAGTAAAGTTTACAGAGGTTCTCATAAACGTTCATTGTTAATAACAGTTCTAACTGAACATCTTACGATGAGAACACATCACTCACTGGAGGGGTACTTCAAACAAAAACAGCTGTTAAAATCAATGTTTATAGTCCTCGCTTTTCAATATGTTTTCCAAATTCTGTGATGTCGTATATGCAAGAACCAGGAGATTGGATGTCTGAGAATCCAATCACCATACACTGGTGACAGATGTGGGCGACCAAGACCCGGTTCTCAGCTTTACCAACGATAGTTTCACTGTTATCATGACGAAAACATGTATACATGGTATCAGTTATCTTCATTCTGATCAGAGAATCGTAATGACTGGATACTGCTTTCAATATCCCTATCGTCTCACCATCAGTCAAATCCCAATCAGCTGTAGATGCTAGAACTTCTCCTTCTAAATTAGTAATGGCTACAGTTTCCACCTTTCCTCTGCTTGTCAATCGGTCTAAAAGACTTTCCCATGTCATTCCCGAGTACTGGGTATTTCGTTTACTTTCGGTCGTATGGAAGTGTGTATCGGCTGCGATTTTCATATTGAAGTTAAATGGAACAACAACAAAAGATACTTGCGTATTAAATTGATAAAGACGAGAGTTTCTTCAAAATCTTTGGTTTGTCCGACTCCAATTAAGTATTCATAATAGTGGTTGTCGTTGAAAAGTTGAACAAATGGTAACATAGAATGTCTAGAAAATACGACCATTTAAATGAAATCTGTCAACAGTTCAAATATTTTAGAAAACCTGTTTTCAAACCTTGAACGTTCCAAGAAATGTCACTAATCAATGCAAAAAAACCGCACAAACTTTTGACAAAACAATGGTCGAGGCACAATCTAATGTTTCTTTCTAACTTTAAAGCACATATCCAAATATTAACTTCATATGATGTGATGTTGCTTCTACTGCAGACGATACTCAATTGAGCACAATCGTATCCTCCTCCTTAATATTCGGGTGCGTTGTTCTGGTTGATTACGTTGTTAGTGGGTCAGTCGACCTGTTATCACCTGCTGTGTTGTTTGATATAGACTACTACTACACTTAAATGATATCACGTCAAGGCAATGTCTCGTTTTCATTCAGCCTTCTACAATTTATAGCGTCCCTTGCTTTTATGACGTAATTAAAATATACGTCTAACTTTCGGATTAGTTCCGGTTAATTGAGAATGATATTGTGACATTTTTTCACTTCTTTACAGTGCCTGTTAAGCTAATCCTCTAAGTTTATATCTTATAATTCCTTATTAAATCAGAATTTAATTTTGACAAACTTATCACATTTTGAAGTGTAAATATTTTATTTCCCTCCCAATAGAGTTCATTTGAAAAAAAAAATTGAAATTCGACTTCACAAAAACCTTTGTTGCTATCATTTCCAAGGACACTTTGTGTCTGAGGTGCTTAAAATACTTTTGACGTTATCAGTGTCTAAGATACTTTAGCCACTTTAAGTATCAAAGATGCTGTCGTCACCACTGGTGCCGAAGATGCCTTTGCTGCTTCTAGCTATCTGTATCATTTTATTAAATTAAAAGATTCTTATTGTTAGCAGTGTCAAAAAATATACTTGCCGCTATAAGTGTCAAAGGTACTTCCGTCGATACACAATTTTTTTCTATATGATTAAGTGAAACAAAAGTGAACGATTCCTGATTCCTGATGGAATCTGTAACTATCTAGTTGTTTGCAGTTGCTATTATTGAAGATGTTTATGGCAAAATTTCATTCTAATTTCAACATTTCATTAATAGTTGGAAAACCCATGCAGAGTTTATCGAAAAAAGTTTATTTTATGTATATAAATGATATATAGAAATGTCAGTAATGAATGACATTATGTTGCTTTAGCATACAAATTAAGACATATAAATAAGATAACAGAATAATTCAGAATTAAAAGTAGCACTGAAGAAATTTAAATAAAAAGTCATCCATCCTTCCATAGTACATGAATTTGAGTTCATGTCGATTGCAACAGATTCGTTAAGAGGCTTTGAATAGCCAGTTCACCCAAAGTCAGCATTGAAACCGGATTCTCTGGACAAAGGATTCTAAGACTATATCAATACGGATGTTAAAAAACTTGGATGATATTTAACCAGTCATTATCAAAGCTGTAAATCGTTGTATAAATGAAGGCTACATTTATTGACATTTTTAAAATAACTGCTCTATCAGTACTATAGACTATACAAGGTGGGGCATTATTTAAGTTTCGTCCTCGTATGTCAATATAGTACTAATATGAATAGATACAATGGAAATGAATTTACATCCGTTTGGAAATCCGGTATTTGTTCATTCCGTACACATATATTACAACATTGACCAATGGGAAATGGAATTACGAATTTAAAAATTGTATAACGCCTCTGCGAATCTGAAATGTCTAAAACAATAATGAACTATTTGACAGATTGACTACTGAAAATACTTAAAGATGTAAACAACATATAAACTACGTCAAAATAATGAATCGGATAGAGAGAAACGTTCTGATGGAACTTGGATGGATTCGAGTCGATTTGTTTTTCAACAGGTTTGGAGCTATTTCAGATTTTTAAAACTTCTAAGGAATGTAAGCTCAATAATGGACTCAATAAATTTGACAATTAATACAATGTGGAATAAAATATTGAAGATTATCGTGGTACCAAGGACATGTCATTTCCCCTCACAGGTTCCAAGATGAAACATGATTTCAGAAAAGATGGTGGAAACCATGTTTTGAATTGTTGGGGTCTAACGTTACAGTACCAAATAAAATTCTATAAGACTTCACCCAAAATTTGTTGTTTTGTATAAAAAGCACGTTTTATTATCACGAAAGGTTTCAGACGGCAAAAAATTAATTCATTGAATAAATTAACATATCATTAAGATATTAATGTTGCACTAAACACGATATAAAATATATTTGGGAGTGAGTAACCCATGATGTCAATCTACCTTCACCTTCACGAATTATCATCTTATCTAAACATGTACTATTTACTTCTATTGTTTTTATGTATTTGAAATATTTCAGTGAAAACAGATACATCATGTTTAGTATCATACCTTCTCTGGTCTGGCCTAGCAATAAAGATACCTAATGCGTATTATATATACAATATAAGGATGTCCACCTGACTTGTATTTCTGCACTCAAAATCGATTGTATAGTAATTATTGATGCATTTAAGTTCGGAAACTTTAACTTGCCCCTAAAAAGTGTAAAAAGTATGAAATCTGTGCAAATAAAATGTTAAACCGATACATGTACTACATTTCCAAAATAGACCTGTTACTATCATTATTGAAACCAATACATGGTCTTGTTGTTTTAAAAGATAAAGGTATTTAGGAGTATGTGTTAAGTTACGTCGACGATGATGTCATAAAGTAGCAAGATATATATAATCTTATCAAAACAAAAAACACAATAATCATGTTATTTTAGACCTCCTTTTAATTTTATCAATCAATTAACGTCATTTAAGAATTATATTTTTTCTCGAACCTTCAGCTATTTTGGAAAAAAAAGTGTTGATACTATATCTGCCATTTCTGAAATTTGATTAGGTTATCAGTCATAAGGTGTGCATATTTTATCATCCCTCAAGATTTCGAGAATGATATGTGAGCAGTAAGAGAAGACTGTGAGGTTGAGACTGTGAAGTAAGCTATGAATAGTGGACAAATTTTCTTCCATTTTTTTTTTATAAAGTTACGGAATCTGAACAAATTCATGTTGTTTTGTTAAATCTGTACATGATAAAGTTACACCCTTACAACTCACATCTACCGTTGCTAAAAGAACATGGATAATATCTATCGTAGCTAAAGGAACATGCATTTCACGAAACCAACCGCATTGTTTCTTCTCAGGTCTACTGAAGCTTATTGGGTGATTCAAGAATTTGAAATGTAAGACAAACATCTCCTTTGTCTTCTTTGAAGGGAGAGAAGAGGAGTGTTTCCACTGCCTCGACTGTCATTTGCTTTCTGACAAGAAGAGGCTGAGGAAAGGTTCAAGGAAACTGACCGCTTCTGCTTCAAAAAGTCCCACGTTTTTTTGCTACATGACCATTTTAGTGTACCTTTGATCAAAGAAGGCAATGGCGGTGTCTGTGGTTCTGCTTTTCTAAGTCTTGAATCACTCAATCAGCTTCAGTTGATCTGAAGAGAAACAATGTCGTAAGAAAAAAATGTTTAATGTACACCAAGTTTTATTGTTGTGGCATAACTCCTTTCCAGTCATAATATAGTTTATCTTTAAATGGTATGCTTTATCAAACAGGTATATGCATAGAATGTAAGCCTATATTTGTTAGAAAAAAAAACACCCTACAGGATAAGAGTTTTAATCATCTATTCATTTTGAAGACTGTCAATTTGGACCAGATCTGAATTGAAATGTGTTAAATGTATAATAACTTTGTTGGTGATATGACAACATTATTTGTTGATTGAAGGGGAGTTTTAGCTTATTTAAATTCTACTCACATTCACGAGATATCCTTAGTTAAATTACTGGTGCAATAAAATGCACATACTGAATTGCAATCGTTATAATAATAAAAAGAAAACATTTTACCTTGGGCATAATATTGACTGAAAAGGAGTGTTTTCTTCACAAATTCTATTGAATCAAATAATTTTCAAAAATATGTTTAACTTCCTGATTGTAAGTACTTTGTTTTTCTCTCAGAAAGTTGATATTATTGACAGTCTCCAAACTAGGTCGCTATTTGATTCGATTTAGAAACATGTTTTTCAGGATATTGTAATCAATAAGTCTTCTGTCCTTCAGACTCGATTTATAACAAAAACTGAAATCATAAGCATTGTTTGTACATCTGACAAGAGATATGCTTTAGCGAGGTTTACAACTTGAGCCATTTTAATACATTGACTGAAATTTTGAATTGTTATACAGTCGACGGAAAAGTGTGAATCATCATCAGCATGTCCACCCCGCCACCACCCACCGCTCATGTGCTGTTGGTATCCGACGAGACATTAGTGCTTTTAAGAACTTAAGACTAAATTATAGGTATTCCGTCCCACACCATGCTACTGCTAAAACTGGTGATGATGTTTTGGCTAATAATTCTAATGGAGTTTCTGCAGTTTAACTGCTATTGGTGTTTCTGCAACTGTTGATAATGCTGAAACACCAGAGCTTATATGATGATTTTTCTCCTGTTTCGTTTGCTGCTTTCTATACTACTACTGGTCTGACAGCTAAAAAATTAATCTGCCGCACTACCAATGCTGCTACTGCTGATGAAGATTGCCCATGTTGCAGTTGGTTGCTCTGACTGTTTTAGGTAATGGTTCTGCACATTAACTGCTATTTATGATGTAGATGATGATTCACCACCAACGAAAATAGACCATTTAATTAATATGGTTGTACTATAAAGATTATCAAAATCTTGTCATGTAAAATAAATGATAATCTACTTTTTTTGTATTCAACCGATAAATTCTCCTCTTGACCTTCAAATACATTTTTTAAAATATAAATCAACTGATAAGTTGAACAATAACACAAGTTGTGTAGAAATTAAAAAAAGTATTACGCGTTCTATCCAATCACTTTGGTTTCGTGTGCAAATGATTCAAAATACGAACAAATTTGGGCCCTTTTTTTACTAAATTATTATATCCAAGGCTGTAAATGGCTGCAATAAGCTCATAAAAAGTTTACTGTCTTCTGAAGTCTGTATTTCTGAAAATACATTGTTTTGCAGAGAAAACTTTTCAAGGGATTTTCTAACTTTTGTATGTGTATCGGGGACACTGATAGCATCAATTTGCACCATTCCATTTTTCAGTCAGTGGTTTGTGGTTCCTGCAATTCCACAAAAAATAAGTGTTTGATGATATCACTAATGGCAAACTATGCTTGTATCACTTA